AACAACAACAACAATAGTTTCTCATTGATTCCACCTACCTTAACATTTTGCTTGCTCCAAGAATGCCAGTGACAGGGAAACTTAGGGTTAGAATTGCTACAGGACCTTATAGAATATACTTGAAGTTCCTGGCTTGTGCAAATGGTTACTATATTTCGCTGCTAAACAAAAGGCTAATGATCTGAGTCTCCCTACAGTTAGGTATCTCTGGCTATTTAAAAAGTATGAAAAACCCCACCCCAGCCATTGAAAACTTATGGAGCACAATTCTATTCCAATACAAATGGGGTCACCACAAATCAAAATAGATTATGTGGCAACTAGTAGATAAATGCAGGAAACTGGGATTTTGAAGCCGTACCTGATGTACTTTGGGCATATTGCAAGGAGGGACCCATCCTTGGAGAGCAACATCATGCTTGGAAAGGTGAAGGGACAGTACAGGAGAGGAAGACCCTGATGAGATAGATTGACACAGTAACTGGGGCCAGAAGGGTAGGGGTGTCAGAGTCAACGAGATGGCTCAGGACAGAGCAGGCTTCAGAGGGTCACTGTGAGTCATAGACCACTTGATGGAACATAATTACAACAACAAGCAATTTCAGTTACTAATCATTCTTCTAAGTAGTGTAGCACTGGCCTCCTGCCCATTTGCTCTACAGAGGTAAATTGTAGTTGCTGTGATGCTAAACACTGTGACACTGATGTGTCAAATGTGATAATGATTATCCATGGTAGACAGTGTTCAGTAGAGAATCCCAATTAAAACAAGCCTGGAAGCAGGAGTGGCATTCACTTCAGAAATAGCTTGCCTCCATAAAGTTTATGAACATGGAGAAACAATGAAAGTTATACAAGTGCTCAGGTCTTTCGTTCATAGGGTCGCTATGAGTCATCTATAACTTGACAGCACTTAACAACAACAACAACAACAATAACAACAACAAGAAGTGAGTGTCATTTTCTAAACATTTACTTAATGTATTTCTCTGGAGGCAATACTAAAAATTAGTTCAACAAATATTGTTTTGAATTTTGGGTAATGCATAGTGTTAGGCCCTGAACTGAATGCATTATCTTTGCATTTTTTATTATAAAGAAAAGTAGAAAATATTTCTCTTCTTTAGGCAACTACAATCAGATTCTTTAATTTTATATGTAATGTTTATTAGAGAGTCATGTTTTTGTTGGTGATTTTTGACAGTTGTTCTTGTCATTGAGCTGTCTCTATCCGTAGAAAACCCTAGGATCACCAGTCTATTACTAACAATACTGTCTTTCTTAAACCATTTGCGTCTGCTCTGCCTGAACTGTCTCTTAATTGTCAAAACTTTATGCATGAAAACATTTTAAGAATCACAGTTCAGGGTGGTCAACATGTAAAATGAAACCTTTGCTCCTAAAATAGATCAATAACTGGACAATAACTGGGCTGTGTTACACATGCAAATATCTGAACAGAGCAGGCAGAACATTGCTTTACTTTTTTGTTTGTTTGTTTGTTTCCTTGGCATTGAAAGTATAATTTTCTTACTCAATCCACTATGCATATACTGGTTCACTTCAGAGACAAAATATGAGCAATCTGGAGAAAGAGATGAGTTGTAGATTTCTGATAGTTTTCTATTGTTTAAGCCAGATGAGCTTATTTAAAAACATTTGACAAGCAAATAATTTTATATTACATTTTCTACTGGAATCCAAGAGGACAAGCATTCTCTTTTGTCACTGAGAGGGAAGACATGACTGTGGGAACCCAAGGGAAAGGTGGCAGAGGAGAGGCAGCAAAGCCACCCTGAGGAGGGAGGGAACTTATGATATATGTTCTGCAAGTAAGTGGGAGGAAAAGATTTCAGGGTAGAAGAAGCAGTGTGCATAACAGCAGGGAATGACAGAAGATGGGATGTTACAACTGTAAACTGTTGGTGAGCCCTGGTGGCCGAGTGGTAAGAAGCTGCACTGCAATGCCAGAGGTGTGCGGTTTGAATCCACCAGCTGCTCTGCTGGAGAAGGAGGAACAAGCTCCTCCTGTACCAGTTTTGATGGTACACACTAAAAATAATAAAATAAAAAAAATAAAATCAACTGTAAACAGTATATTACACATGAGGGTAGGAAATGGTAAGCAATGATATTAGAGAGAGATTGTTCACATTAATGTAGGTAATAATGAAAATGGAATTAATAAATTGTAACAGGTGTGGTGGTGGTGTGTGTTGCCACTGGTTTCCAACTCAAAACCATAGGCTGTGGTCTTTATACGTGTGAATCACCTGGTCTTTTCCCTTGAGGAGTGGTTTGTGAGTTTGAACCATCTAATTTTCAGTTAGTAGCCAACTTATCTCACCAGGAATCCAAGCTGGTTACTTGATGAAGAAAAGAGAGGTGACAGACACTGATGAA